TGTAGCGCTTGGAGCTGCGGTGTTGGGTGACCTCATGTGTCCAGTTGTAGCGCTTGGAGCTGCGGTGTTGGGTGACCTCATGTGTCCAGTTGTAGCACTTGGAGCTGCGGTGTTGGGTGACCTCATGTGTCCAGTTGTAGCACTTGGAGCTGCGGTGTTGGGTGACCTCGTGCGGCCGGTTGTAGCGCTTGGGGCTGCGGTGTTGGGTGACCTCGTGTGTCCAGCTGGAGCGGCTATGTTGGTCGGTGTAGCCAGCTTGGCGTATCCAGAGAGGGTGTTGCTGATGGATGTCCTCTTGTGGCCAACATCCGAACTCACGGGAAGTCTGTGGGACGGCTGCGTTGCGGCGACAACAGGAGCGGGTTTTGTAGACACTCGGTTAGTGGGTGCAGTGGCGGTGAGGGAACTTCGTCTGGCGGCCATGTCTCTACTGGGGGCGCGCGCCGCAGCGCTTCTACTGGCCGCAGGAATATTGGTGTGTGGAACGGAGGATGACTGCCGCATCGGTGACGACGGCATAGTGTGTTTTGTAGCCGCACTCGCAAGGTTCTTTGGTGCACCCCGCGTGGACTGAGAGAGATAGGGGTTTCGCACCGCTGATGCTGCTGCCGCCGCTGCCGTTGTTGCTGACGTTGGGCCGGTGCTTGCGCGGTTGGGGGCCTCTCGAGAGGGCGCTGCCATGGGCGGCAGCCTCGTGGGGTTGCGTGTGGAATGTACCCGCGAGGCCTCATAGCGCCGCGGGGGAATTGTGGGGGGCGGCACGTTGCGTTCCTGTCGGACCTGCGAATACATGTGGTCTGGCATGACGTTCCGCTGCGAGCGCGTGTTTTTTGGTACCACTGGTGCCAGGGACCTCCGCGCAGGCACCGGAGGATGGTACATACGTGTTGCGATCACCTTCCGTCGTTCCACAGCATCCGCAGCGCTGCTCATGAAAGGGTGCGGGAAGATATCCTCGTCCCGCGGCTGTACACCTTGTCGGCTTGCAGGTGTGGTGTTGTTGTGGTAGCATGAGCCTTGTCTCCCCATGGAGTTCGATGCGCGGCGGAGCGCGAGGGACCCCCCTCGGGGGTGCCCTGTCTTGGGCTGCTCGTTTGTCTGGGTGAATCGCATCATGTTACGTTCAATTGTCAGCGTCGTCTCGCTCTCCTTGCCAATGATGCTCTGTGCCAGAGCCAAGGCTGCCTGATACTCCTCGAGGGCACGGGTGGGGTCCAGCGGCTCCAGCGCCATGGCGAGGTTGTGGTGAGCAACAGCAAGCAGCGAGGGGTCCTCTGGGGCGGACCCGAGGCTCTGCATCGCCAGCATTGCGCTCTCCGCCGCGTCCTCGCAGAGCCGCAGCTGTGTCTGGACAGCGCTCATGTTGAGGAACGCCACCGGCGACTGCTCTCCTGTGCACTCCATTGAACGCTGCATATACGAGAGGGCCTCAGTGAAGTGCCCGCGACGCCGCTCCATGCAGCCGTAGTTGTTCAGTGTCACGCCGCGGAGGTAGCGGCGCCGGTCGTCAGCCTCACGCAGCGGAAAGGACCCCGGTTCCGTCATTTCGAGCGTGTAGCCGAACAGTGTAGAAGCGGTGTCGTAGTCATCTCCCTTGAAGCACTTCACACCATGCGCGTTGCTCTTCGTCACGAGCCTTTCGGCCGCCTCGCAGGCTTCGGCGATGTACGCTTGTGTGACCGTGCCCGAGACGCACTCACGACAACGGATCTGAAGTGCCTTCTCCATGAGCTGCAGGCAGTCCATGTGCTTACCTCCTGCCTCGAGTGCGACGGCCTGAAGCTCCATCCGCTCGGCATCTTGTTGCGTCTCCTTCCCCGTGAGGGCTGCCGCGGGGTCGTAGGTGGTTCCCCGCCGCACAGCCAGCACACTCATCGCTAGTTGAACTCCTGCTGCTGCTGCTTCCGCTTCTGCCTTCTTCTGCCTGGTATCTCGGATTCTCTCTTCCTATCGCTCTCGTTGGGACAAAGGCGAATACAAGAAGAGGTCACGATGCACAAAAAAAGAAAAAACAACACTTTTTCCTTTAGATGATACTGTTCGTTTTTGAAAGCCGTCAAACAGAAAAAAAAAAATTTCCATAGAAATCCAAGCAAGAGTGAAGTGAAGTGACATGCGTTAATCTGCGTACCCATGAACGAATTAGAGAGAGGGCAATGGCGTTTTCGATCACATTATGAGCACACAGATCGGCACATGCGCCTTCGCCCCCATGCAAGGAGCTGCGTCCGATCGTCGAAAGAAAGCAGCAGCAACATACCAACCTCTCACCTCCCCAGCACACAGACCCCTGCATTGAAAAATCAGCAAGGGGGAGAGAATAGAGAAGCACATAGCCAGAGAGTCATCCCATTTATAAAATGGAACAAATAGCCCCCTTTTTATTGCCGCGTCTTGGGCTGTTTTGCTGCTTTCTGTGATAGCAAAAAGACAAAAACGTGAGCCTATATTTTGGCGTACGTTCTTCTTCTCTCCTTCCGCCCTTCACCACCCGGCCTCTCTCTCAGCCACGCACAGACACTCATGCTGGGGGGGAGGCAGAGAGAGAGAGAGAGAGGGAAAGAGGGAGTGAACGAACGGAGGCAACTGTCCCCTACCTCTTCACATACACACACACGCGCACGCGTACACGCCTTACCCAGGCATCATGACAAGAAAAGAAAAACAGGCGTTATCAGAAGATATTTTGCCTTCTTGAAGAGCCAAAATAAACCCAAAAGGTAAAAGACAACTTTATGTAAAAACAAAACAAAAACGTAGTACGCCATCCACCTGCTGGATCCCTTCAAGGGGGGAGGGGGGGTGATGGCAAGGCTTTGTTTTGGCATGTGGTTTTTTTTTGTTTGCCCACTCACCGGCATTCGTCATGTTGCAGTATCATGGATGCTGTGATGTCCTTGTGCGTAAATGTGCGTTCTCCGCCCTGAAATTGGGCCACAGTCGCGTACGAACAAGAGTCTGTTGGCCGAAGTATCCATTTCTGCGTCAAGAGCCCCTCCACCCCCACTGGGCCACGGGCGTGAATGCGGCCAGTGCTGATGCCCACTTCGGCACCCAGCCCAAAGCGGTACCCGTCGGCAAAGCGTGTCGAGCAGTTTTGAAAAACGCAGGCGGAATCGACGCGCCTGATGAATTCATTAGCGATTGTATTCTCAGTGGTGAGTATGCTTTCTGTATGGTGGGAACTGTACTTATTAATGTGGCAAATGGCAGCATCCACGTCACTTACAATCTCCACTGTCATCCCTTCATCACCGTACTCTGTGTGCATTGACGCTGCGCCAGCACGGACAAGCGATGCCCCGATGGCCTTTGGTCCCCCAAACAACTTAATGCCGGCTGCCTGTAATTTTGCAATGAGCGTTTTTGCACTGCCGTTATCCACGATTGCCTGGTGCAAGAGAACTGTTTCTGCAGCGTTACATGCAGCTGGGTAATTGAGTTTTGCATCAATAAGGATCTCTGCCGCCGTTTCCATATTGGCGTCCGAGTGCACGTACACATGGCAGATGCCGTCTGCATGTCCAAGCACCGGAATGTTCGTTGACCGCTGAATATTCTGCACCATCTCATTGGAGCCACGTGGAATAACAAGGTCGATGTATCCCTCAAGTTTCAGGAGCTCGTACACATCTGAGCGAGTTGTGACGAGGCCAATCACGCCGGGTGGCACCTTGCCGTTGGAGGCCTCTGTCACCGCATTCAAAATCACAGAGTGGAGCATCGCATTGGAATGCTCTGCCTCGCGACCACCCTTCAGCAGCAGGCCGTTGCCGGAGGAGAGTGCAAGCGCAGCAATCTGTGGCATGCTGTCGGGGCGTGACTCGAAGATAACGAGGAGCACACCGATGGACGCCGTCTCCTTGCATAGCACGAGATTATCATCGAGCATACGAGCACTGATTATGCGGCCAATAGGCTCATCGGCTTCCGCAATCGCCGTGATGCCAGAGACGAGGGCGTCGATCTTGCTGTGGGTGAGCTCCAATCGCTTCAACAAGGGCGCAGCGAGGTTGGTTTCCTTCGCAAGGCGCAAGTCCACCTCGTTTGCCTCGAGTATCCTCTGACGGTTAGTATCGAGCGCCTTTGCCACCGCCAACAGCACTTGTTGACGCTCTGATGAGGTGAGCATGTTAAGTTTGCGCGATCCCTCGCGTGCAGCCCGCGCGAAATTCTCCATCGCATGCCGTCCCTCCGCCGTGACGGCCTCCATTGCGAGCAGCTCGGCTGGGTCCTCGACGAACAGCGTGCCAACATTCGGCTTCCCGTGCAGCAGCTCACCAATGACGCCCATGCGGTGACCAGAGCAAATGCACACCGCAGGGACGCCGCCGCGCACTGCAGCCAGCGCTGCTGCAATCTTGGCGTTCATTCCACCACGTCCCGTTGGGCTCTTAGCGCCGAACGTAACCGCGTTTTCTGGCGCATACGTTGTGATGAGGCGGGCCCTCGGGTCGCAGGGAGGGAAATCGTACAGCCCTTCCACATCCGTAAGCAGAATAAGGAGGTCTGCGTTGATCGTCTGCGCCACCAGCGAGGAGAGGCCATCGTTGTCCGTGAATGGATCGTTACTGCTGATGTTGCGGTTGGCTGTGACAGTGTCATTTTCATTCACAACGGGCACTATGCCCATGCCCAAGAGATTCTCCAATGCGTCTTGCAAGTTCTCTCTTCGATCGTCGGTTCGAAAGTCGTGATGTGTTAGCAGCAACTCCGCCAACGTAACATCCAGCTGCTGGAATACTGTCTGGTACAAATTCATAAGATTTGCCTGCCCTGCCGCGGCGTATGTGTTGTTGCCGACAGCAGAGAGCGGCCGGCTATTGCGGTGGAGGCGGTCAAAGGCTGAGCACACCATGACGTCTTGGCGGCGCAGCACATTCCTCCCAATGCCGCAGGCACCACTTGAAACGAACACAACCTCTTTCCCTTCGCTACGCAGGGCGAAGATCTCCTCTGCGATGTTGGCGATGCGCCGCACACTTGGAAAGCCACTCTCTGTCACAATTGTAGAAGTTCCAGCCTTCACGACAATTCGCTTTGCGTATTTGAGATCCTTACGCGATGTGACACGGTCAAGTCGCTTTCGAACAACCGGAACTGGCAAAGTGGTCATGGTTTAGGCCGAGGTTGTTCTTGTTGTTGTTTTTTTCGGTGTCGTGAATATTTTTCTTTTGCTTCCTTGATATAAGAAACTCTTCACCTTGTTGTTGCTAGTATTTTTGTTTGTTTGTTTGTTTGTTTTTTCTGTGGGGTGAAAAACTAACGAAGGTGCCCACGCGGGCCGGAAGGAATGGTCCCAACAAGGAGGCGTTCCGCTTCTTACCTGCTCGTATCACTCCCATGCACACAGGCAGCCAACACAGACACACAGACATAGAAGTAAACACACACACGGTCTGGCACAGGCACACCCTCAAAAAGCCATCTGTCGCTTGTTAGTGAGGACTCGCACCACAACATTCCGCCCCGGAAGTGTGGCGTCCTTTTTCAATGGTGTTGCCTCGTGGCCCGTGCGTAGCCTCTCAGCAGCAACCGCCTCGAAGCGCACCAGCTTCCCGTCCAGCAACTCCGCGTGCAACAGTGACGCGAACACCTCCCCGGCGGTGGTACCAAGCTTAAACACAAAACACTCCTTTAGTGATGGCAGTGGCAGCTTCAGTGTGGCGACAGGGAACACAAGAAAAGCAGGGCAGTGGGAAAGGGCAGCCGCTAGCACTTCCTGCACACCAGTTGTCCTTGGGGTGTTGCTGTCGGCTGGAGCATTGCCAAAGAACTGGCGCAGCTCAGCCAGCGCTTTTGATTCTGCTGGCCCCAGTGCTGTCCCATTGCAGCTAGCATTATTGCTATTGATTTCAACCGTTTCGAATGAGCAATCTCCAGAAATGTAGCGCACGAAGCCCTTATGACGCAGTTGTAGCAGATTACACTCCATCTTCGCAGACATTGGTACAAATATCTCATGAGGGTAGCGTCGCTGAAGCTCCGATAAGATCTCCCCAGCCGCAGGCCGCATGTCCGCCTTGTTGAGCGCAACAACGATGGGGAAGCGCATACGCACATACAGCCCGACAAGCAAGTGCAGCTCTGTTGCCCCCCAGGCGGGCACCCTATAGGTCAGCTCCGTGTCGTTCGTAATCCCCACGCGTCGCAGCACCCCGTCCACAAATGAAGGCGGGCTACGGTAGCCGGTGAACATGACCCGCAGCTTTGCCGGCTTTCTGCAGATGCTGTCCCACTTGCTGCGGAGGTTGTCATAGATCCAGCTGTGCACCTCTGCCCGTACCCAAGTAATGTCGTCGCAGGTGGAGCCCGTTCCCGGCGCACACGCCGAGCCCTCCGCATCCGTTGCGCCCGCGCCATCGACGACGTGCACGAGGACATTCGCGTCGCAGAGGTCGTTGAGAAACTGGTTACCTTTGCCCTTTCCCATGTAAGCGCCCTGCACGAGGCCAGCGACGTCCTTGACTATTACCGGGTGCCGCCGCTGTGGCGTCCCGTTTATTGACACATGGCCGTACGTCGCGTCACAGCTCGACGATAAGAGCGGTGGTTCAATACAGCACGGACAGAACACGGCACCGAAGCCGGCACCCACGTTGGGCTCAATTGTCGTGAACGGGAAAGCGGCAACCTTTGCAGCTTTGCTCTCGCTTTCTGGATCGGTCACAGCGTTGAAGAAGGTGCTCTTCCCCGCTGAGGGCTTGCCGATGAGGCCAATGGTGAGCTCCAACGTCCCACCCCGTGCCGAGAGGTTACCGCTGCCATCGCCCTCAGCTGAATGATCCCCACTCGGTGTCTGCAGAGGGAGTTTCTCAGCGAGTAAACCTTGCGCACACCGTTCAGCTTCTACAATGTACGCCCTTCGCTCACTCTCGGTCTCCTCTGCATCCCACCACGCCGTTTGTTGTTGTTGTTGTGCCTCCTGATCGTAGTCATCATTGTTGTTGTTCCCACCAGTGTATGTGTGGGCCTCGTCGTGAAAAACAGACCGCAGAAACTCCAAGTCGCATGATGCTTGCTCACTGGCGAACATCATGGTGGGGAGCAGCATGGCGTTGCCGACGCCCAAATCCTCCTGCAGGTATGTCATTATCTTGATGAGCAGCTCTGCTTTCCAACGCTCGAAACGTACGTGACGGCTGGTAGGACCCCCCAGCACGTCCACTTTCGGCAGTTCTGCCGGATACCGTCTCGGCAGTGTCAAGCGCAGTCGCAACACAGAAAGCGGGCCGTCCAGTGCATCCTCCGCCGAGCAGTCCAGCAGAAGAGGCAGCAACACCACCGGGGTCGGCCCACGTTGCACATACCCTTCGTCATACATGGAGGAGATCATCTCCAGTTCCTCCTCTCGAGCTGCAGCAAGTGCAGCGCCGTCTCCTTCCCCCTCTTCTTCTTCTTCTTCTCGTCCTTGTTCCCTCTTTGCACGAGCGACACGCTCGAGAAATGACCGCACGGCACCTATAATACTCTGCAACTGTGGGATGCTATGAGCATGCTCGTGAAGGGCAACCTCAGCGTGGGGCTGGCACAACTCAGCAAAGGACGTACTCTCCATTGGATCCACAATGGCGTCTTTACGCCCTACGATATGAAGCGAGGGAAGTGTGCCAAAAAAGCCAGACTCGTCAGCGCCACGCTCCACACTCCTTTGGTAAGCCGATGCAAGCTCTGGGAAAGCGCGACGTGCGTCCGGTGCTGCTGCCATGATCAGGCCACCCAGCGGCGGCCCATACGCTTCGTCGCTGCGCAGCTGCTGCAGCATCACGTAACGAGCTGCCGCCAGCGCGCCTTGGGAAAATCCAAGGACAATGTCATACGAGTTATCCCTCGATGTCATACAACGTCGCACCACAGCGTCCCCAGCCGCATACTTCGCCTCGTCAATCCCCATCTTCGCGCTCCACGAATACGTAACCACTGCGTCCCCTTCTGTGTCAGACGTGATAATGTTTGGGGCATCAACAAAGTCGAACTCTGCAACATCGGAGAGGGCCCCGCACATCTTGCAGAGTTGGTGCTCAAATATCTCTGCGGTTTGCCGGCTCCCATGAAGGCACAGAACTCTCACCATTTCGACTGCACTGTGAGGGAAATATTTAACAAAAGGGAGATGAGAAAATTTACTGCAATAAGCAGAGTTGCAAAAAAAAAGAGGTGCCTCCACCAACCAGGCAGTCAAATCCGCCCAGCAGCCCTTCTTTATTCCTTCCACTGTCCAATGAAATCTTGTCCTGGGACAAAACGATAGACTGATCAGAGTAAGCTCACAACTGCTTTGGTGAAAGAGCGGCAAGATCCACCATTGGGTTTTTAGCTCCCTGAACCACCAGAAGCCGCTCCTCCATCACGTTCAGGTAGTCCAGAAGCGCCGCATTCTCTTCTTCGCTACCGCGGACGAGCTGTATGTATTTCCCCCTCAGAGCCATATTCTCCTCCTGTAATGAACACAGCATGCGGTACATGGGGTGATCACTGTAGCCCTTTCTTTGTGTTACCGCGTCGTACACGTTGTGGGCCTGCCGCTCCCGAAAAACGGCACCCTCTAAAAGATGCGCCACCATGGAGGCACGCTCCATCCGCGACTGCCTACGCGCAGCACGGCGTTCGGCAGCATGATGTACGAGTTCCTCCAACTCTTGTTTCGCCTGTATGGCTTTGCGATACGCAGGATTGGTACCCGATGCCTTGAGAAAAAGCTTTTGTTGCAGCAACTCATTCTTTTGTTGCTCCTGTCGCGCATACGTTGTTTTGAGACGACTAATGTCCTCTCTGAGTTCTCCCACCCTATGCCACAAATCAGCATGCTGCTGCCTCAAGGAAACGACATCTGTCTGTGCCGCGTCCAGTGCGGAAATTGTGCGGCTGATAAAATATTGCAGCTCCACTTCCTTCACTGTAGCACTGCCTTTCGTAGCCAAGGCAAAGGTCCCTGGAAAGACGATCAACTCATTTTCCCTTGGATTGCATGTGTCAAGACGTGTATTAGACTCTCGCTGATTTGCTGAGCCTCCCTCAGCAGGAACAGAGGCAGCAGCAGTCGTTATCCTTTTCAGATCCTGCTCCAGCCGTGTCACCTCCTTCTGCAGAAGCTCTCTCTCCCGTCTCCTGTCTGATAACCGCTGTATCTGAGCACTTACCTCAAGGCGCCAACGCTCCACCTCCCGTTCTGAGCAATCTGCCTCTAGAGTGGCAATGCCAGCGGTGCGAATGAGTTCCTCGTCAGCTTCAATGAGAGACGATTCCGACACGCCAATCCGTGGGGCATGCACGGAGTCATCAGGAAAATGAGACCAAGAATCCATCGCTGCTGATTTGTACATTCTCTATTTGATGAGCACCCACAGTGAGAGAGAGAGAGGGTGTTTATTGCGGGGTCCTTCCCTGTCGACAATCACTCTTCGTCACGCCTAAATGTCAAAAATTGCCGAAGAAGAATTCAAGGGGCAAAGGTAAAAAGAAAAAGAAAATAGCGTGCACGCCTTCACCACCAATGGGGCCGGCCACATGCAGCACAAAAAGAAACGTGCACCCTCATTTTTATCACCACTGTGGCAGGTAAATTGGCGTGTATATATCCACAAGGGGGGAAGGAAGAGAGACCCGAGAAAGAACCCTCCAACCACTGTCCGGTTGTCGCGTGGAGCCATATATGGTGAGGAAATCAAAAACTGGAGGTGACACCTGTTTCATTCTGGTTTTTGTTATTGTTGTTGTTGTTTTCCATCATCCTTGTGCGCCTATGCAAACGTGTGCGATGGACACACCCCCTCAGATAAGCGTGGCGTCTGAAGAACGGCACTATCTGCTGTGCAGCGCCACCACCAGCAGGAAGCTGGAGGTGATCAGCCATAAGGCCCCCTTGGTTCTATGATTTCGCGGTCATCCCCAGCAAACGGGCAAAGTCCAGCACCTCCACCTCATTGCTAAAACCTAGCCCATCACTTTTGGTCTCGCCCCCCTTTGGTTGGGTGTCAGCCCCACCATTCGTGATGCCAGCGATGCTCCGCGAAGAATGCCTCGCCTGGCTTCCCACCACTGCGCTCAGCCCATCCACGTTTGCTGATCGCGCCGACAACGGGTAAAAGCAGCGGCGCCCTTGGCGTGGAGCCTTGACTGACGCCAATCTTGGCGGGAGTGGGGTGGAGTCAGAACCGCACTTTCTTAGAAACCAGTACAACAGTTGTGCCAAGTGACGGCATTTTTTCTCTCCCGTTTCTGTTCGGAGGAGTTTTTCGTGGCGTCGCGGCGTACATGTGCATGATAGGCGCCGAAACACACGAGACCAGTGAGGTATATTCACACCTGCCGCCCTCACCGACGATTCCTTCAAAATCGGCTGCAGATCAACGTGCAGATCAACCAGCACATGGCGCCGCACCCAGCTCGTCAACTCGTACCGTAGGTACCCAACCGTTGAGAAATGATAGCTTGAGAAGTAATCCGCGTTACATGACCGCACAACATCAACAGAAACGCAGAAGACGGCCTTTGTAAAGAAGGACATCATGTAGCGATACACCCATGAGCGCTGCTGGGGTGAGAGAGACACGATGCTGTTCAAGGAGGGGTTCATGCGTGCCTCGGTCATAACCGTGGAGGCGAGCGCGACGGCATCGCACACAACAGGGCGTACAATGCCTACTCGCATGGAGCCTACGCGGCGCAGCAGAATCTCTGGCCGTCGCGGCCGGTCACGCAGAGCGCGTGCTAAGTCATTGTTGACGCACAAATCGGCAAAGGCACAGCCACGTTCCCTCTCTACATCTACTGGGCCTCGCGGTGTACCAGCATTGGCGTGGGACTGCTCCCCAGCCCAGGAAAAAATCCTTTCGTAGCCACCCACCGCCTGGAAATGCAGCAGTTCGGCCGCTCGCTGGAATGGCTCAGTCACAGCGAGGCAAGCACTGCGCTGAACGTCGATGCCTATGTACTGAACAGCAAAAGCGAGGACCTTAAGAAACTCACAAGAGCTCGGCACGTCGTCGGGCACCTCGGGTGCCAATGATGATGACTTCGCTACACTACCACTGGAGTTACGTCGAATGGTAGGATCGCTCACAGCAAGCACAGGGAGTATTAGCGCATTCTCACTCCATGGCACCTGCACCCACGAGCGAAGAACCCTCTCCAACTTATCGTCGCTATCGACAACCACAACGATGGTGCGCGGTAGGTGGTGAACGCCGAGCGCTGACCATAGCACGAGCAGCTCTCGTATCGACGCCTCACAACCGAGTGACGACGAGACAGAGTCGCATGGACATTCGAGAAACAAGCAAGAAAATTCTTTAGTCGCATTCCGCAAGGGCGACTTCACACGTTCTCTCAACGCACTCATGTGTTTCTTCCATATTGGTTTGTCGTCATCCTCAACGTCTTCTTCAGGGAACCTTGACACAAATGAAGTATCATGTTTCCTCTCATGTGCAGTGCCCACTAATGTCTCAACATACCTCTTCCAAATCGGCACGTCACCTTCATCATCCTCGTCTTCTTTCTCTTTGTCTAGAGTTCTCGACGAATGAGATGACTTCCGGATGTCGTCATTAGTACCGTCTACCATTAACCCACTCTGTCTTTTACAAATCGGTTCGCCATCTTCATCCACTTCTTCTGTAGTTGTCCTCATATAAGAAGACTTATGAGTCAGACTGTTCGTACCGTCCACAAGCGTCTCAACGTACTTCTTCCAAATTGGCTCGTCATTCTCGTCCTCATCCACCTTGTCTTCGCAATCAACAGCGGACGCAGATGAAGTCTCATGAATCCTGTCACCCGCATTACCCACTAATGTCTCAGCATACCTCTTCCAAATCGGCACGTCATCTTCATCCTCCTCTTTCGCCTCGTCTGTAGTTGCCGAAGTATGAGATGAGGCCAAACGGTCGTCATTCATACCGTCCACCAGTATCCTGGTGTGCCTATTCCAAATCGGTTCTTCATCGTCCCCCTCCTCATGAGCAGTTGGCGCACGAGCAGACTCGAGTTCATCTCTGTGCGCCCTGTCCGCTCTGCGTCGCTTCCGCAGTGGCATCCCTTGGCACGACTGCGACTGAAACGCATCTCCGTCCTTGCCACCACCATCACCATGCGTCTTCGCCCCCGCCACGTCCATCACCAGCTGTTCATACCGCAGCTTCAGCTGAGGTACAGCAGCAGCGGGCACCAGCGCCGTCACACGAGGGGCCACAGATGCGGAGGAGAATAAAGACGACGGCGTGACAACAGAGAGGCTCCACCACGCCTCACGTAGCTCGCGTGGCACCAAACATCTAGCGGAATCCAGGACACCTGTGAAATCCACCCAAAAAGTTGTACGCGCAGAATCTGGAGAGAGCGCCAGTGCGGTATCGATGATCTGTGCGGCACGCTGTTGCGCCTTCGCAGGATCTACAGTCATTCTTCCATCCCCTATCGCCAGCTGCACACACACAACTGAAAGTCTATGGAAAGCGTCCAAATTCTCCATCTCGACATCTGTGAACAACATCACATCAGCTACACCGTCCCCCTCAACTCTACCCTCCTCACAGCTGTGCACAGATGACTTCAGTGGTGCAGAAGACTTAAGGTGCTCTAAGAGGTCCGTCCTTGATGTCAGGAACTGCAGCACAGATCCGTCAGATATTGTACTCGCGCTGGGCCCCGAGAGCGCCGCATCCACCCCGAGTGACCTGTCTGCAAACACAACTAACACGCAGTAGGAGTCGGCCTCGGTGCTGTCCACTTTATCGTCAATACTGGCGGCCTGCCAGAGCCGCTCCGGTTCGAAGGCCACGTACGCTGCCGTACACCCGATGTCTTCCTCCGTCCAGACCATTTTTTCCTTATCTCTGCAGTCCATCAGTTCCATAAGGTTGACCGTCAGTGCGCGGCAGCGGACGCCAAACGCGGAGCATGAACGTCGCGAAGGGGTGGAGGCAGCAGGACTGGCAGTAGGATCCATGCCCTCCACGTTCCTCGCTTTGGTGTTCACATGCCATAGGGGGAAAGAATTTACAAAAAGAAAGTGAAACGGAAGAGAAAAGACCCAAGAAATATTCTGCGGAAAATGGATACAGACAGAACACGGTGCCTATATGCATGTCCATAGCATGCCTCTCATATTCTTTTCGGTATATCAGTTTTTGTTGTTGTTGTTTTTCGGTTTTTCGTGCATATTTGATTCGCATCAGAAATTCAATGTGATCACGAGTTTCGAGCGCGTGACAGCCTTCAAAGGGGAGTAAGTGGGAAAGGGTAAAAGAAAACACAACGGCACAGCACTCGAGAAGTGCCCGATGAGAATTCAGGCGTGCATGCGTGGAGGAAACATCTGACAGCACAGAGTGCGTGGATCCTAATCAATCCGCTTCATTTTTTTTTTTTTTCCTCGTGCCCTGATGTACTCATTTTCCTTCGCACTGTACGTCCCTCTTCTCCTTCTCATTCACCTCCCCCTCCTCATCGTCCTTCTCCACATCCTCTTCTACAATCTGCTCACGCTTTGCGTCATGTAGCTGCTGTGACCAGAGCTCACTATACAAGCCGCCACTCTCCAGAAGCTTTTGGTGGGTTCCTTGAGCCTCCAGCCCCCCGTTGCCGTCGAGTACGAAGATAATGTCAGCGTCCTTTACGGTAGTGAGGCGGTGAGCAATTAGGATGATGGTGCGCCTTCTTCCGCCGGCCTCCCGCAGCTGCCGCATCACACGCATCTCCGTCGCGCTGTCCAACGCGGAAGTGGCTTCATCAGCCAGAAGAATAGGCGGATCATCAAGTAACGCGCGTGCAATGGCCACACGCTGCTTCTCACCTCCAGAGAGCTTCAACCCGCGTTCTCCCACAAATGTATCGTATTGTTCACTCATATTCATAATACTTTCGTGTATATTCGCCAGGCGAGCGGCATCCTCCACCTCTGCGTCAGTGGCATCCAGGCGACCGTAGCGGATGTTGTACCGCACCGTCTCATTGAAGAGAATGGTGTCCTGTGGGATGACCCCAACTGCCTTGCGGAAGCTCCGCAGCTGCAGGTCCGGCAGTTGCTGACCGTCAATGAGAATCACACCAGCGGTTGGATCGTAGAAGCGGTAGAGGAGGCGGAAGATAGTACTTTTCCCACTGCCAGAGGGGCCAACAAAAGCCACCATGCTGCCACCTGGGATAGTTAACGAAAGATTGTTCAACACATTTTTTCCATTCAAATTATTGTTGTCGCTCTTGTTGTTGTTGTTGTTGAACCTGAAGCACACATTGCGCAACTCAATTGTGCCAGATGTGAGCTGCAGCGGCCGTGCCTCTGGTTTCTCTGTGATATTGCTCTGAACATCGAGCAGCGCTATCATTGCCTGCATATTTTGTGTCGATGATTGCACCTCACGGTAAATAATGCCAAGAAAGCTCAGTGGTGTGTAGAGCTGCATTAGCAGAGCGTCCACAAGTACCATGTCGCCCACTGTCATGGCACCCGCCAGCACACCACAGGTGGAAAGATACAAAGACATCAGTGCGGCAAAGACAAATATTGCCTGCTGGCCAAAGTTCAGCAGTGACATGGACTGGTCCAATCGCATCAGCTCGCGGTTCATCATCACCGTCTCACGTCGCAGACGAGCCTCCTCGTAGTCTTCTTTTCCAAAGTACTTCACCGTTTCGTAATTGAGGAGAGAATCAACAGTAAGTCCACCAACTCGGCTATCGCCCTTGTTGAAACGTGCACGATATTCTGCCCGCCAGTTGGATACAACATACGTCCAGCCAATGTATGAAAACACGGCTGTCAATGCTGTGGCAATGAAAGCAAAGCCTGCCGCGTTCTGCAGAACTGTGCACACCAGCACCACCTCGAATGCTGTTGGCACAATCATGAATAACAACGCATAGGCAAGGGACCAGAACGCGCGGCTGCCACGGTCAAGATCCTTACTAATAACACCTGTCTCGCGGCTAAGATGGTATTGTAGATCAAGTGCGTGCAGCTTGCGGAATAACTCCATCGCAATTTCTGTCGATGCGTGGCTTCCGACAGGTGCAAACAAAGCTGCCTTCATTTCTTCTGTCAGGGAACTTGTCAGGCGAGTGATACCATACGCCGCGACAAGCCCAAAGATGCCGACCTGCCACGGCCCCACCACAGTTATGGTATTGGCAACAGCGTGGCTAGGTGACAATGCGTCAACGATCATCTTGAACCAAAACGGTACTCCCACTTTCAGCACCTTCGCTACAAATACGCACAGCACACTAGCAACCACCAGTGCACGGTACTTCGGCTCTCCAGGCGGCCACAAGTGTCGTATGACGTGCGTCACCACTCTGTAGATAGGGATGTCACTCGCGCCACCCTCTGTGGCAATTGAGCTCTCCGTTGCTTTGGGTTTTTTGTCCTTTGTCACAGACTTCTGCTGCCTCGGTGGCTGATGTTGCTGCAGCTGCTGTTGATGTTTCTGATGTTGTTTGCACTCGGTTTTTGTTGTTGTCTTTGGTTCGGTAGAAACTTTGCGTGACGGCTCCAGGAAAGGACGACTCATCTGATGATACGCACGACTGCAGGTCCACAGCGAAGACACGACAGCAAGCGTCGGTGCCCGCTGGCCGGTGCTAAAAGGCCCCACACAAGTGGAGAGCTGGCGGTTGCCTAGCGCTGGGCCGTACCACAGGCCGCGCATCACTCTCGCTGACAGTAGAGCATTGCGCTGCATCACCAGCAACGAATGGGGAACGTTATAGGAGAGTTGTCGAACACTACTAGCCACGAACCAACCGATATATATATACATATATATATATATATATATAGAGAGAGAGAGAGAGTGTGGAAAGCAGAACAAAACAAAAATTTTAATAAAATATCTCATGCAATGTGGTGGAGAATCCCATTATCATTGCTTGACCCGAAACTCTTCAACAAGAAGCAGCACATAACAATTGTACACACAAAACAGAAACAGGCCGCGAAAACACGCCAGACGAACACACACACACAGACCTTCACAGAAAACCACAGCGAGGCGTAAGGGGAAAAAAGTGAGCATATACTTACGCACTAAGACTGGTATAACTTATTTGCGTGGGCGCGTAACCTGTTCTTGGTGGACGGCGGCGTGGAATGCGAAACCGTGAAGGCACTGCCGGCATGTCGTCAACAGACTCGCCACTGGCAAGCCGCTGACAGCACGCCTCTAGGAAGTCAAGTTCGTAGCGGGAAAGTGCAGCAGTGGTATACCAAAGCTCTGCATCTCTGCGCCTGCATCCAGTGCCGGTCTCGTCCACGAATACTGCGCGGCAGAATCCGGCACGAAGCAGATGCGGCGCCAACGCATCCGTCCCTCGGAGAATAAGCGTGCCGTCTGTCGTCAACTCCAGTGAGACTGACGTGGGGGGAAACGTCCGCAGGAGTGTCCATTCCCACCGCTCCACGCCGCATGTGGCGCAGCACTCCACATCGCCGCTCTCGCTCTTCAGAAGTGTTGTGGTACATCTAGGGCAGTGCGCCACCCACAGACGGGCCTGGCTGGGCAGAACACGCGCTGGTCGTGTACCCTCCACGTAATGCACCACCACAACATCGTCGTCTTGCGTTGGTCGGCCGGAGGTGCTGCAGAAATCCAACGAGGGTGGCTCGAAGGCATCCTCTGAAACTCGTTCACGCTTGACACGGGTGAGGTTGTTGCCCAGTCCTCTTGGGCCCGAGGATGCAGGTTCAGGGGAAAGCGTAAACAGTCCACTGTCATCTCCCTCACTCGCAGCCTGTGTGGAGTCTATGACCTCTGTCACATGCTGCTTTTTTTGGTCACGCGAGACATCACCACTGCGGTAGCTTCCATCCGCATCCAAAACAAGCATATGGGTTCCTAACGGCATTTGTGATAAGACGTGCATCTGCCAGTAGTCAATCTCAAGACTAGAAGCCGCTACACGTTGCTCACACACAGGGCATGGTGCCACTGGATCACGCATGGAACGGCACTTATCCAGCAAAGCGATCCACGAATCTAAGTCGCAGCATTGGAGGTGGCGGCAGTCCCTGCTTCGAACTGGGTACCGCAACGCCACACGTGAATACGGGCAGATGAGGGAGAATTCTATCGTCGATACTTCTACCCCGTCACCCCCTGGCTGTCCAAACGCCATCTCCCACGTCCGCTGACGATGAGCCTGGAGCAGCTTGCTGTTGCTGTTGTTGTTGCCGCCACGTTTTCCTACCTTTGTCTCCTCAAGGATACGCTGCCGAACATCCATCAGGGTCTGCGAGAAGGCAGTGCCTGTTTTTGGCGCCTGATCCAACTGTATGCGGTATCCCTGCCCCCTTGTCGAGCCACGAGGACCATCGAGCAAGTTACCCCATGGGCCCGCTGCCCTCGGAGCACCTCGAACTAGCGGGCGTGAGGGCATTAATCGGTACGCTATTCGTTTTTTTTCTTTGCTTTTGTGTTTCCCGTTTATATATATATNTTTTTTTTTTTATTTATATATGGTGTTTCTATGGCTTGCCTCCAGACCCTATTCAGGGTGCTGCTGCCGCCGCCGCCGCCACCCAAAGGGGAGAGTTGGTCGCCACAGACGCACACGCACACGCAGACGATCCCTCTCTGCGCACCTGTAAGTGTGGCGAACACAACGCAAAACCCTGTTGATAATATAACGTGCAAACGAAAGGGTGAGAGAGTGAGGGGGGGAGGGAAATAAGAAAAGAGCGAAGGGCAAAAGAAAGAAAATATATGTACTGCAGTGTTGTGATATGGTCAAGATAGCCACTGTGTCAAGCGGTATTCCCTCAGAACACAGTTTGTCATGCTGGTCACAAAACCAAACACCTTAAAGTACAGTGAGGACAGTCTCATAGTGCTCGGCGTGTATAATTCACCAGTGAGGAGATATATATATGTTCATATGACTTATTGACTGTAGAGCATATAATGAGTTTTTTTTTTAAAACCGACTCAAGCAAAATGCAGCACCACCATCACCAAAACCACCTCCATCTCATCTTCGCCGTCTCCACTATAATTGACAAGCCCCACTTCGTTTTCTCTAGGTCCTTTGCCCAGTTCACTACGCCTCCCTCACCTTCACTCCTGTGTTAGTCGTCCCGGAGGATGTAGGCCCATCTGCCACACTGCACTCCGTAGGCAAAGAGTGCAAGGCACCACGCGTAGTACATACTCACCAACAGGGTGGGTCGCAGCAGGGCCTTTGTGCGGAGGCCATGCAGGAAAAACTGTGCGGAAGCGCATGTTGCAGCGATGCCAGCATACGCGCTTGAGAGAGTGGCGTCAAATGGGTATGCGNTGCAGGAAAAACTGTGCGGAAGCGCATGTTGCAGCGATGCCAGCATACGCGCTTGAGAGAGTGGCGTCAAATGGGTATGCGTACGCCGCTACGGCCCCCACGGCAGTATTAAAGGTTCCAGTTAAAAGCATCATGCGGCGTCGCGTCGCGTACCATGCATGCATCGATCCTGCAGCATTGAGCACGGAAAAGAGACCCACTTGGTACGCGAATGGGACGAAGTACATCATACAGCGCACCTTGACCTCCAGGTGCTGCCGCTGATCACCAAGGGGGTGATGTGACTTATGCTTACCAAGCCAAAAGTTTCTTCCACGACTTGATGGATCTTATTCGAGGCACAGGAAAAGAAATTAGAAGTATCAAGCGGAAAAACCCAGGAGTCACAAATCAGCCTTACGCACAACGCCATACATACGCCCACAAACACACACGCACGCACACTTTTTTTTCCCTTTGCATTCCCGGTGTTGAACCCAACACCCCATTCGTACAACAGTACCGACATCGTCATCCTCGCACCACAACCCATAACAGACAAACACAAACAAGTTCACAACATCAATCACGGTAGTACTCTCCTATTGCAGCCAAAAAGGCGGAGAGTGACAGCCGACGTCTCCACGACGACACAGTTACACCACATGAAGGTGAGGCCTCCACCGACGGGAGATCATCCGACTCCCTACGCCTTTCCGCATCAGGTGTAGATGGCGAGTACGCTTCAAGGAAAAGTGGGGACTGGCTGGGGCTTGGGATGAACACTTCCTCCCCGCCGTCTGCAGAGCCCTGTGAGTGGGAGCGGCCCCACTTTTTTCCAGAAGATGGCGTCTCCAGCGATTTGTGTAGTGTCTTGCTGCCGCGCCGGGCAGGTGTGCGAAAGGACTCGAGGGGGCCGGCCGTCACCTCACCCGGCAGCACGCCATGCGGAGTTTGCAGCAGCGGTGCCACCACGTCGTAGCATGCGGACGCCTGTCCGAAAATGAGATTCGGCCGACGAGCCTGGGAGAGAACGACATTGTATGCAAGGAGCGCAATCTTAGCGAGGAAGGACTCCGCTCCGCAACGCCATGAGGTCTCGTTAATGAGACGGGACGCAAAGTTAAAGTATGGCGAGAGCGAAATTATCTCGTCGCGACGCAAATCCCGCGCCAAGACGGGAGCTTCACAGCGTATACTGGATAACTTTCCCCTGCCTTTTCTCGGCCACGTCGTGTTCCCGTTTTCCCTGTTACAAGTGAGCACTGGCACATCAAAGACCTGCGGCACCAAGCATTCTGCCAACCATGTGAACCAACGCCGTATGCACTCTTCATTCGCCTCGGCGTGTTGCTTGAGCTGCAGCAGTTCCACTAAAAGAGGAAGAAGCAACGCGGTGTAGTCATCTTGCCCATGCGCACGCCCCTCGCTGCACTCGTCAAATACGTCATCCAGCGCCTCCACCACAATACCGTACAGAACTGCGCTGTAGCTAGCGATCTGGCGGACACACTCCAGAGCCTGCTCCTGAAATGGATGTGGATACGGGGACGGTGAGTTGTGAACCTTGATTGAAGACAAACGTAGCAAGCACGCACAAATTCCGCGTACATCATCTGTTTGTGAGGCCCACGCTGTAGCACGTACTACTCCCTTAGTAGTAGTGGCACTGGTGGAAGGAATTTCATGCGCCAAATTGGGTGCTGTTAGCCATTGCAAGATATCAAGGCAATAACCAAGGCGACGCCAAGGAGACTCTTGCACATCAAGCAATCCCCCTTCACTGCGGGCTCGCTTGGGCCGCAGCTGCGAAGAGGCAAAGACGCCACCTACCCCCCGTGGTGTGAGACGTAACGAAGAGGGCGAAGGCCCCTTCTTTGAAGGGTTTTGGCGGCCGCTCTTCACACTTGTTAACGCTCGTACAGTTTCCTTGGTGGCACCGCACATCTCTTCCCGAAGCGTCAGCACTAGCCCCTCACCAGTCATCCTGTCCAGTGCACGGGCACGCAGTCTCGGCTCTGTAAACGTGGACATACTCACCAGAGCTGCCAAGCCGCGTAACGGCAACCCCTTTGTCATGTTTCCAAACCCAGATCGGCTCGACACCATGTCCATCATTAGCCGCTCCTTCTTCTGGTATAGCGTCATTGCGATACCATCATACCTCATCGAGCACACAGCAGGTGGAAGGGCAACATCCAGTAGGTACTCCATGAGGTAGCACTCCTGCAGTGTCCCAATAAAAGGCAGAGTGGCAGGGAATGCTCGCCAATGCGAAGCAAGTTCATTAAGCTCCGCGTCGATATCACGCCACGCGTCTCTCTGAAGTGACGCCTCTAACCTTCGCGCCTCCACACATATGAAGCATAACAACCTCAACAACATCACATTTGAGGTCACCAAGGTGCGCAGAGACGGCGATTCATTGGCGTATACCAGAAGTGCCTCCACACATTTACTCATGAGCGCAACCAGCTTTTCCGCCGGTTTATGGCTTGGAATGGAAAATAATGATGGGGTGAAAAGACAACGTCGCAACGTAGCCGTCGTAGCAGTGTTGCTGCGCCACCTGAAGTCACGAGTATTGGGTGCCATTGGTCGGGAGGAACCTCTGTAACCTCTGACTGTGGTGTTCGAGAAGTGTCCAGTGTCTCTCCACGTTAAGGCGTATCCGTGGTTCAGGAGCTTTAATGCATCTCCCGCCGTCCTTCGGTTGCGCAGCACTGATTTAGCTTCAAACTTGTTCACTGTTGTGAGGAACTGGCGGCTTGTCATTGGCTCATCGAGATCCACCGCAACCGTCTGTGAATACAATGACTCTTCACCTCTAGAAGACGATAAGGCATTGTGCTGTCTGGGGTTCGACTCTCCCCTCGCCAGGGACGCCGGCTCGTCGTGATCGCGCTCAGCCTCCCAATCGCGGGGCGAAGAGCCTGGCGAGTGCGTCGGTGAGCTGCCAGGCGATGGGTAGGGCATGATAACGACATCCTCTTCAGTAAATTCAGGCTGTGCCCCTAAAAGCTTGAAATAGAGCTCTCGCAGTGCAGTCAGGAGGTAACCATCGTCGCCATCCCCCTTGTCAAGGTCACTGATGTTCTTCTTTGGAAGGCCTTTCCACATTACACACAGTATTTTCTCTATTTTTTTGTCACTTCACCCACCACGTGTGTTACTTCTACTCTATGCCCACTATTGGGGTCTTTGCATAAGTGTACATGTATGTATGTATGCGCGTAGGTAAGAAGATGTGATTAAGAAAAAGATAAATGTATAGGAAAAGAGCGGACAGATACGCGCGCCCATAAAATATTGTCACCATGCACATCATGTGAATGGTTCCGCACACAAAATTATCCGTACTCTTAACTAGAACGTCCAAAGTCTCATAGCTACAAACGATGAGGCTAGCAAAAGCATGTAAAATGACAACGTTCTGGGATGACAGAGAGGCATATATATATATATATATATGTATGTATAACAAAATCAATGAGCAATCCTCATGTGTGTGTGTGTGTTCCGGAAACCCAAGCAGTAGGAGTGACGAGATCCGCCACAGCCACCCCACCCCCACCCCGTGTATGCAATTGACAAAGATCTTGAGATCCTTATACTTATCCTCAGTTCCAACACAGCAAGCTCCTTTGTCTTCGCCGCAGCAGCCGGGCACACCCTTCAAAAGGATACTCGCAATTCGGGGACAACAACCTTTCCACCAGTTTGGGTACGCATCCCAAAACACATTTGAAGGGGTGGAAATGAGGGGAGGCGTTTTTTCCTCCTCGTGATGCCGGCACATATTTTAATTATCCCCCTAGTGGAGGAGACAGCCCCCGAGGCGGCATTTACTGTTTTCATGATGGCCCTAGTTTACGTCATGACCCGTTCTGCCAAGTCGACAAGGTCGGTGGCATACACGTAGTCCCACAGCCTTTCTCCTCTTCTGGACAGCACGAGCCGCCGACCACGCACTAACTCTCTTCCAGTATACAAAATGAGCAGCGGATTGTGGTAACAGAAGTCTTGGTGTAGATCGCCAAGATAAAAGAAACTCATTATGACAACATTCATGCCGTAAGACACACCAAAGCCTCACACCAGAAGCTCCACTTGGTACTTGATGAGGGAGCAGAGCAGTTGCGGCCAAACTTGGACGTCCGCTAGCAGCACTCGTTCAGCATTATCTTCAGTGGTTCCTGATGTACTAAAGAAGATAAAACAGTGTGCCGCCGCAAAGTGGAACACGGTATCCACACTCACATTGTAGCGGTATGTGCGCTAGCGTCCAGAACGTCCGCCAGGTCAGCTCGGCTGAAGCACCTTCTCTTCGGCAGCACCTTGTCCTCGTAACCAAATACAATGTTGTCAAAGAAAGTCACCCTATACCCACGGCGATGAAAGTATGTGCCTCACTGTGGGCCAAAAAACCTAGCGACACCAGTGACGAGGATGCGAAGGAGGAAGTTGTTGCTCGGCCGCCTTCTCACATTTCACAGTGAATAACACGTAGAGACGGCTCGCGGTGATGTCAATCTCGCACAGCTGAGGTCTATCACTGCGTCCTGAAGTGTGTCTCGTCGCGTTGCTTCATTCTCCCACGCCTCACCGTCTTTCACAACGTGTAAAGACGCGGTAGCCAGCGAGAGAAGCATTGAAGGTAGAAGCAGACGCAGTCACGTCCTCTTATGGGCAGAAAGCAGCCGCATTTTTCGGAGTATCTGCTGGCAAGAAGAGGGGCACCCGCGAGAAAACGGAACGAAGGAACTACCCGAGTTAAAAAAACCGCAAGATGGCCTAAACACAACGGTTTGGCAACTCGCATGGGTGGGGGTGGGGGTAGTTGTGGTCCAAACAGACAGGCAACGTCGCCTTTTAAAGCAAGACACCGAGGAGTCCGAAGCTCACACGCGTGCATTATGAAGGAAAGAAGGATTAATCATGTTCTCGCATTTCTAATCCGTTCCCTTCCCTCCCCTTCCCAGACTACTTTTCCTTTCGCTTTTGTTCTTTTTTTCTTTTCGTAACACACAGCATCACTTCAGTTACTTCCGTCACACCCACTCATACGCATGCATGCGTTAAAACAAAAGCACTGACAGGGATCTACTCATCCCCATCATTCTCGTTTCCGCCCTTTTTTTTTCAGTACGATAGACACGGGGCGGATAGTGGGGCATGCTCCAGCATCCGCCGCCTACGCGCCTCCTCCTCCACACGCTCCCGCTGGTTGTGCAGTAGTGCCGCGCTAACAACCTTGTCAAGAGCGTACATGAAGTCCAAGTGCTGCTCCATCGGCACATCGTCGTCGTTACTGTTGTTACTGATGTTGTTCGTGTCGTCTGGGCCAAGGCTGTTCGGCCGCCGGTAGGCCACCCCGAGGTACTCGCACATCTGAACGCATCCCCGATGGTTAAGGGAAAAGTACAGCAGTTCCCCAGCCTCTTCCAACAATGCGTCACTCACATGGCGAGAACCGCGTGGTCCTACGCCGGACGCGACGATATCCTTTGTGTCGATGAACTGTTTGCAAGTGTGGCACATAACCTTGACTTCGGTTGCCACATCACTGGCCATAAGCCACCCGCTACAGCTTGGCTCCGGGCACGCCACTTCCACTGTCCGCCTTAAACCGCGATACTCCTCCAGAAGGTCCGACATGACTCTCTCGATAGCGGCAAGCACCTCCTCAGCGCCTTGCGGCTTTGCCTCCGTGGAGAAGATGCGGATTACATGCAGACCTTCTCGGTACAAAAAGACACGGCAGTGATCGCCACGAAGCCACATGGCATCAATCCATCGGTTGTGCTCTTCATCTGCCTCAAGGAGGCGATAGTGATCCAGCACATCCTCGTCGTTCTCCGCCGAAAGGGCACCGTGTGGTTCGTGCAGAGTGATGACCTGCTGATACTTCTGGAGTTGCGCCTGAAACCGCCACCACATTTCACTCGGAAGAAGATTGAACTCAAACTTCACTTTTGCGCCACGGTTGAATAGGACTGGCGCGAGCCGCTTAAGGCGTGCTGGGGCAACGTACGGAGAGAGACTTGGTATGAAGTAGCGCGTGACTTTCGGCTCGTGGATGATGGGCCGCCCTGCTTCTGGATCAATCACTGGCGTCTCCTCCTCCATCAGCGCGAATTCGTCGCAGGGAATGTCAACGGGATACAGCAGATCCAAGGCAACGAGGAGCTCCAGAGCCATTTTATAATCAGAGTCAACGGGTTCTCTCTTCAACACGTCATGTAGTGGCTGGCGAAACAGAACGCGAACCAGAGGCCACCGAAGGAAACCTTTGCGGATGAGGTGCATGTCAGCAGCCTCAGCACGACTCACTATGTATTCGAGGCCACCAATGATACTTCGAAGATGCAGTGGAGTTCGGAGCACGTGGGCGTATGAAAACAGTGCAGCTGCAAGACGGCTCAGCCAAAGTGGGCGAAACATGGCAATTCCATCATCCTCCAACCGATGAAAGTTAAAAAGGTAAATGATATTCCAGCTGTGCATAAGACGAGCAATCTGAAGCAGTTCTTTGTCTGAGTTTACCCCAAACTGCAACGCTAAATGTCTAAACTCGATAAGCGGCATCAACAATCTCTGTGGAAAGCGTTTTTTATTCTCCTCCAATTCTTTCATGATTTGAATATGACGTCCGGGAATGGCGGCGGAGGGAAAATCAACGTCATCCATGCACTCCTTGTGGGCCACCTCGGCAAAGAAGCGCAGAAGTGCGCTTAGCTTCTGCCCTGACAGGTGTCGCAGTCCTCCAGCCGCAATAATCCGCCGTGTCTTGCAAGACACAGCAAAGTTTCCCACAATCTTATTGGTGACGATTGTGCCGGTATCTGGATCTACAGCGGCGATGCGCTGCATAAAGTCCATGATTTTTCCCTCGACCTTCGCGAGTATCCTCTCCACGCTACGCTGCCCCTGAACACGAAGTTCGTCAAGATGCGTGGCAACGAGCACAATCTTGGCCCGCGGGAATTTGGCGTACACNTCCGCAATCCACTTATACAGACGTTCCTCTTCACTTACGCTGATGCCGGAACTCTGAAAGTCCTGCTCAACAGCCGATATCTTCCATACAAGAAGAAAAATAGATCGATCTGTCAGGAAAAGCGTGTGCGAGTGATATGCTTCCTGTCCCGCAAAATCCGAAAAAATCAGCTGGACATGGTCGGCACCGACACAAATACCCTGAGTGTTTACTTCCACACCAGTTGTCGTCTTCACATCCGGTAGTCTCTTAAAAAAATACGGCTCGGACTCAAAGCACTTTCGCAGCGAGGTCTTCCCCACTTCTTGATATCCCAGCAGAACAATCTTCAGCTTGAAGATTTGCTGGTTTGGGAAGCGCCGCTTCGAGTCAAAGAGTTGGGCTGCTTGCAGCAATGAATGAACGGCCTGTGGATCTTTGTGACGGGGCATATCACCATAGCATCCAAAAGCCGTGGCGCTTCCGCCCTGAAGAACGGCCTTCACCGAATGCATGCCCGTATAGCCATCCAAAGCTTTGTTTTCTTCTCTTACAAGAAACTTGTGCAGTCTTTGATGTCCATCCCGGGGCCGAGATGCATTAATACGTGGTTGTTGGCCCCCAGTAATGGATGACTCCGTCACTGACTGAGGAGCTGCTGACGATTGCAGAGATACTCGACGATGCCGTATGTTCTCGCCGTCTGGTTCGCTATTTTTTTTAGATGTCTCAGAAGCCTGCGTATCTGTCTTCTCATCTGCCGTTTTTCCTTGGCTCAGTGTGTCATTGGACAAGTGCAAAACGGCACCCTCAGTTTCCCCCACATCTGGTGTGAGTGCCTCATCTCTCTGTTCTCCACAATGTCGGTCGTGCTCTTTTACCACAACAACAGAATGATCTTCATCGTGTATCTCGGTAGCTGACTCCATTGTCGAAAGATTGTTGTTGACCGGTTCCGCACCTATTACTTCAGCTTCCAAATTTTCACTTGCATTTCTCAAGATGTGTTTATCGATCGGTGCCTTCTCGAGTGTTCGATCAGAAGTCGTACCTTCATCGGTCGTCTTTTCTGTTGAGGCTGTCGAAGCTGTTTCCCCCGTCACTGGCACCATGTGCGCTGCTTCTGAAGTTGTTTTCCAGACCGAAGGATCCCCGGAAGAAGGCTTCTCGTTTATAGACTCGTCGTTTGAAAGCTCGGTGGGTACAGGCTCCTCACTTCTGGGCCGACCGGTGGCTGGAAATGAGGTATTAGTCTCACCTCGCGGCTCCTCAAAGCCTGCCTCATTATTTTCAGGATATGGCACCCCGCTGTCATATATTGTTTCCCTTTGCTGAGGCACCTGGCTCCGAAGGTCCTCAATTAGAAGCCCCTCAGCTTCTCCCTCAGCCGCTGGCTCCCCCGCTGTCGCCCCCACAACTGATTCCCCGGATCCTGTTTCATCAGTGATGATTCCCTCAACAGGTGTGGTCTGCAGATATGAGAGGAGGGGCACACTCACCCCTGGTGCAAGCGTGGAAATTGTTGGGCTTTCATTTCTCCCATTTGTCCACACATATCCTTGAGGTTCGTTGGTGGAGCCCTCAATCCTCTCTGTGGAAACACCAAGCTGCGGGAGGTCTGCATCGGAAGCGTACATCCGTCAAAGCAGACTGCAGCAGCAATTAGAAATGTTTCAGCTTTTTTAATCACTGCTGTGTATTCGTATGGGTGTGTGTGTGTGTGTGTGCCTGTCTTCCTTTTTCTTGCTGTACTGGAAATATAGCCACCGTTCAAAGGGTGGAGTGTGAACTGGAGTGGAAAGCACAGCAGCAAAGATACAAAAGCGAAGGAAGGAAACACCACAGCGGGCAATGCCGTAGAGATTCGTCGACATTCATGCAGAAGTGAGGGACGATTGGAGATGCACCCTCAACTTCCCACCGTTTATTCAGCATCAGAACTGAGTACGGGTAGGGGGAGAATAGCGAGTGAGAAAAAAGGAGATATAAAGAGAGGTCAGCAAGACCATCGCTTCGAAGACGCAGTTGTTCTTTGACGGACACGTAGTTTATTTTCTTTTTTTTTTTGCATTCTCCTTTCTTTGCCCCTCAGTATGCTTATAATAAAGAGACCGCTTCGGTCTCTCTGTTTATACTGTTGTTGGTGCTCTTTTTCTGTTTCCTTGTTGGTGCTCCTCTTTCTTTTCTCGTTCCTTTCCGCAACTTCACTTTACTCTTTCATTCACTCAATGTTCCTCATTCATTCATGCACGGCCCGACTGAAGTTGTACACGTGACGTCCTTCCCTACAATTGCTCTGTTCGCCTCAACAGCTCTGGAAGATGCATCACCGCAGATACACACACAAGTGCCCACAAGCATACAGTTGGAGGGAGTAAAAGAGGAGACAAAAATTGGAGTGGATGACGGAGGACCGAAGAATGAAAGCACCGTGTGTTTCTTATTCACAGAAATCAGCACACACACACACACAAAGATGAATAAAAGAATGCAACACCCTCCCCACTCACTTCGCTCAAGAGCAAGCATACAACCGTGACGGTAGGAACGCACTGCAGTGCATTATATCTATACCCATCAAGAAACTGCTCAAACGCACTCTTCTCTGTTTGGTATTTCACTTTCTTCATTCAGGTCCCCTGTCCCCCCAGCAGTCAGGAAACCTCTCTTCTCGCTTCGAAACAAAAAGGCCTCCGCTCAAAGTCTATTTAGCGTTAATCAGTCCTCGATGTATTGCCTTTTTTTTCAGTTGTTTTTTTTTCCTTGCGTTGTTCTCCTCCTCTTCTCATCTTCCATTTGTTTCTTGTTTCCTTTTCACCTCCTCATGTGAGTTCACACATATGTATATGAATAAGTGTGTGTATGCTCGTATCTGTGTACATACATGCGACTGTGCAAGCGACGCTGTACGCTCTGTGTCCATCACAGCAGCACCACAGTGTGAAATGTGAATGTGGCAAGAGCAGACGAGAGGTCACTGCACAAGAGGAGCGGCAAGAAAGTGTGGCTGGTGGGAGAGCCCCCCCCCACCCAGCATCCCCTCTTCATTTGCAACTACAGAACGGACAGTAGTCGGGAGCAAGCAAATAATAATAAAAAGCAGCACATGCCTCTTCGCGTCGTATATAATTTATATTCGCAAGCGCACTGCTCGTATTCTTCCTCCCACGTTTGTGTTCGTTCTTCTTTTTGCTGCTCGTGTAACCCCTCTAACCTCCTCCCTCCACCCCCGTTCTTTTTGTGGGATCATATCTCCACTCCAAAAAACAAGGGGGAAAGAGTCCCAAACTGCAGGCACGCACCACCTGTCAAGGCGTCACAGGAAGTACTCCGGCATCACCGGCTTCGAAGGCTCGCGCGCCTCCTCCGGCGCCGCCTCAAAGAGCTTGAAGTTCTTGTTGAGGTGTTCATCTAACTCTAATATTGACGCGACGTTCATGCAGCGGTAGCAGTAGTTGGGCGCCGACCACACCGTCACGAGTGTGTCACCGAACATAACCCTGTAGCCTTCCATGACGAGTTGGTGGGAGCGGCAGAGAAGCTCTAGCTTGTTGGTGTCGAGGAACGCTCGCACAACGTCTTCGCCGTAGAGATAGCCGGCGCCACGCGGCGAGAGGCCCCAGCCCTCGATCTCCTCTGGATCCGACCACAGCAGGTCGCACATCGCCCCCTCATGCGGCACCTCACAGCGGCGCTCGATTGCCTCCATCTGGCCCACGGTGGTGATCATCGGGGAGAGACCGGCGTGCACGCAGAGGATCTTATCTTCCACCACACAGACAAGCGGGAGGAGATCAAAGACATCAGTGCAGTAGCGCCACACATTGACACTGCCATATTTGCGCAGGCACTCATCGTAGAAGCCGTACACTTGCGTGATCTGCCGCGACTCGTGGTTTCCGCGCAGCAGGGCGACGCGGTTGGAGTATTTTACCTTGAGAGCGACAAGCAGGAGGAATGTCTCCACGCCGTGGTGCCCGCGGTCAACGTAGTCGCCCATAAAGACGTAGTTGACGTCAGGAACGTCGCCGCCCACGCGGAACATCTCGATGAGGTCGAAGAACTGGGCATGGATGTCCCCAACAATGGTGCACGGGGCACGTATGACGTGAGTGTTGGCCTCCTCGTCCAGAATGGCTCGTGCCCGGTTGCACAATTTCATAACTTCGGATTCTCGGGGGCATGTGCCCTTGCTCACAGTCTCCAGAAATTGGTCGATCGAATCCATAGGCACACGCTTCTAGGACGATTTGTGTTGGCCCAAAATCGTTTTCACTCTCTCTCTCTCTCTTTCTCTCTCTACATCCGAGAAAAAGGAATACGGATATCCCCGCAATAAGCAACAAGAACGGCAGCAGAAGTCGCGACAAGGCAGACAGATTACAGAAACTCAAGCTGAGGGGATCCACGCACCACATCCGGCGTCCTCGCAGATATCATCCAAGACATAAAAAAAAAAAAAAATGAAACGTCCTCTCATTTTTTTTTCGTCTTTTTTCTTTGTATACACAATGAGATATTACATCGCATAATAAGCAACAGACAAAGTGGTGAGCACATCACCCCGATTCCAACTGATATGAATGTCTTTTTTTTTTCTGTGTGTGTGTGTGTGTGTGTGTTTTGCGGCCTCATCCGTTCATCTGTTACGATCGTAGTTTCCCAAAGCATCCGCAAGTATAGCGTCGTCAAGAACATTGCCGCCGTCAACGATTCCCTTTTCAACGTAGGTGCGGTAGTCAAAGTTGGCGTATTTGCCAATACGCCCCTCCAGCTCGCAGCTGTACGACTTCTTCGTCTTCATCTCCGCCACAAAATCCAGTCGGCTGCTCAACGTCTCGCGGTCAACATCCACGTCCATCGTGCTGGGCGCAGGCGTCTGGCCGTTGTGGCGCACGCGGAACTCTTGCATCATACGCCGCTTGATAGAATGTGGCGCGCCGCCCCCCGCACCACCACTACTAGCGCCGGCGACGCACGTGCTGGACGTCAGGCGCTCCTTCTCCCTCTCCTCTCCCTCCGCCAACCTCTTCATTTCCAGACGCTGCAGCAGCTCCGCGCTAGTGGGCTGCTGATGCACCGCCACAGCGTTAGTGCGTTGCTCGGCATCCTCTTTTGCACGGGCACGCATGCGTTCGTACTCCTCCTTGAATGCAGGGTTTTGGGCATCATACTCGGCACGCCGCCGCATCTCCTCTTCGCGACGCTTCTCAAACTCACTTTTGTTCTTTTTTCTAGTCTCCTCCTCCAAGCGCTTCCGCTCCACAAACGCGCGCAATTCCTCCGCGGTGAGTTCGACATTGGGGTCCATCATGGGGTCATATGCCCGCGCCTGCCCCTCAATATGCGAGCGCAGCCTCTTGTTGTCGTACAGCCGGCGCTGCTGCGGGTCGGAGAGGATGCTATGGGCGAAGCTAATCTCCTTGAAGAGCTCAACCCCGTCGGGGTTTTTGTCCGGGTGGTACAGCACCGCCAGCTTGTAGTACGCACGCCGAATGTCGGTTTCTGACGCTGTCTTGGGAACGCCCAGCACATCATAGAGCGCGGTGTTCCCTACCAGCTCAAATACATCGGAGCCCATTGCTCACACCCCTCCCCCTGTTGGCGGCAAGCACTGATATATATCCACACGTATATGTAGTTACACACCAATACAGTATCCGGCAAGCTCCTGGGTATTTATGTATATATATATATATATATACAAGTATGTGATCGCTTCCTTGCGGGTTCCCTATTGTAGCAATGAGTTAAGCAAGCAGAACGCGCATCAGCAAGGTTCCCAAGAAAACAGAGCACGTGGACCCTTTTTTTTCATTTCCCTTCCCGTTACACTCATTCCCTCATACGCCATACACCATCTCTCTGTTTTGGAATTTAGTTCCTCTACCAGGCAACAAAGTAAGGCGTAATCAATCAGCGGTATTATGCCGCCCAGTAACCCGTTTTCTTCGTTGCGCGCCCACGATTCTTCATGGTGTCCGCCGAGTAACTCTTGCCGCCGAAGCCTGTGCGTTTCAGTCCTTTCATCAATCCCCCGCCGCGACCAATGGAGAATTGGCCAGGAGCAAGCCCCATAACAGCCACCCGCGACGGCTGTCCCGCACCCGCCAACCACGGGCACATGTAGCCCTCTGCTTGCATGTAGAGAGATCGGTCTTTGCGCACACGCGAGAGGTACTTCTCCAGCACCCGGTCCAAGCGTTTCCTGCGCTCGCTCTTTTTCAACGGGCGCTGCAGTGTTAACATCTCACTGTCAGTGAAGCATGCATGCTTTCCCTCCTCCAGAAATGTATGCTGTCCCTCTGCCTCCGCAGTTAGAAACTGTTCATAACCTTCGGTACCTGAATGCTGTGCGAAATACTCAAAGGAATCCTTTTGGCTCGCGGGTAGTTGAGACACTGATACGGTTATCATGCTCTTAGGGATATGCACACCATTGATGGCCCGCACAGTCTGGGTATCACGATCCATACTTGGAGGAAGCTGTGGTGCTATTGGTGCACGGACTGGCGGTGCAGACCCTTCTCTAAAGAGAGACGGCGCCATCTCCTTACCGGTATTCGATATAAAGGACGAGCTAGAATCTGTGGAGAAGGACGTCACCGGCACCTCAGCCTTATCCCAGCGGAGCTTGTCGTCATCGTTGCTCTCATTAGAGTGGCGCCCCAACGCAGCTCGGAGTGACGCACGAACGTGGAATCGTACCGGTGCTTCCACGAACGTAGCAGTAGTAGTAGTAGAGTCAGAAGTAGGAGTTTCAGTTGCCTCAATTGCTGTTATTGGCGTAGCTGAAGGGTGTGCAACTGGTGTGGCCTCCTCTAGTAACGGTTGCGTTTGAGACGCCCTACCAAGGGTGTTGTCATTCTCAATAAGATTGTCTTCTTGGTCGTTGGAGCTCAAGAGACAATTCACAGCTTCGTCTCTAGAGGAGAGCAATGCCGCCTTGGGCAACTTCGACAGGCACCGCGCCTTTGCCTCTTCATGCCTCGCAACAAAACGTTCCAATGACAAATTGTTCTCTTGTGGCAGAATGAAGGACTCCAGTGGGTACCGACGCTCCACTGCATTCATCTCCTCCACGGTTGGAGGCGCGTAACTAAGTTCCTTGAGGTTCTTATACGTCAAATCATTTAGCTGGCTGAGCTCCTGTGTGCAGTAGTAAGTAATGTCATGTTGCAAAGCATTTAAGTTAAGACAACGCTCTGGATATTTCGGGCTCGCTCTTGTACCCAGGACAGGAACTTCGGCACTACCAAAAAGCTTCCATAATTTTTCTACATGGTGCTGAAGAGCATTTCGGTCATCGCGGTAGCGATCAATTTTGTTGATGATCACCGAGAATGGTATCTGTTCCTCCTGTAGAAAGGCAAAGATCTCCTCGTCTCTTGGCTGGATTGGCTTCGCTGCCTCCATCACCCAGTACACACGCTTCAGCGGCCCTCGCTTGCGGAGAGCCAAATAACGAAAAAGAATACCGAAGGCCCTCGCACGGTCAGCTAAATTTTGCGAGAGATGTCGACCCTTCCAGCCACCGTACCCAGGAGTGTCCACGAGAAGCACCGCATCTCCCACGTTGAAGAACTGCAACAATCGCGTGGTTCCACGTGTACTTCCAGCACGCCCCAAGCGATGGTTGTGCAGCAAGCATGATATGATCGTCGATTTCCCGACGTTTGGCTTGCCAATAAAGCACACCTCAGGGAAAGAGTGCAGTCCCTCTGGTAGAGCAGAAAGGGCCTCGACATTCTTTAGATGCACGTTACCTTTGGAGAACACCTCCTCGCTGAGGCGCATCACTCTCTCTTCACGCGGCGACATCACGGGGTAGCGGAGAAGCGGAACTGAGGATCGGCACTCTGGCTCAGCAGAAACAGTAGCAGAAGCAGCAGGCTCTAATGCTGAGCGTCTACCCACCTTGTTCAGTAGTGGACGGGAAAGGAAGCGCATGAACCCTCAAATGGTGCTATGATGGATGCAATTTTCTGTATATGTGTGTCTGTACGTACGCGCAAGACAGGTATAACTTGCGCTGTAAGAGCAAACAAGAAGAAGAGCACCTTATACCCGCAGCATGCCGAGGAAAGGCAAGAACAACAGAAATCACTCACTCGCGCCGTGTGTGTGTGCTGGCAGCCTACCAGAGAGGCAGCCGTTTTGGAAACGTATTTTGGGTACCAGATACAAAGAGAGAACAGCTGCTACATGGCAACAAAAAGGAAAAAATAAGAGGGAGAACGCGTTCTCATCTTCTCTCCCTTTTCTTTTTCTTTTTTTCCTCTTTCTTTTTTTTTTCTTTCGATTACCTCACTGAACCACTTTTTTTTTTCCTTTGCGTATGGTACGATCCTGAGTGCTATATATTTTCTTCTTGCGCGTGCGCTCTGCCCCTTGTCCCTCGCCTTCCTACACCTCCACAGTGTATGTTTTTTTTTTCGTTGTTTTTCTTTTGTTTGTTGGTTCATTGATTCCTCTTTTTTTTTACCCCTCAATGAATGACCGAAATAGAATAAGGCGAAACATGTTCTCTACGTATCCATTTTGTGGCACGCTCATCATCCGTCCTACATATGTAGGCAGGAATTCAGGGAGTTACATTGACTGAACGTTTATTATGCCTAATTGCCATCCTTCCTCACAACGTCTCAGGCTCTTTTTTTTTTTTTGGTGGTGATGGAAGAGGTGGTGATTGTGGTAATCAGTTCGTGATAGTTGGCTTGTTTATGTGCATATTTGTCTGAGAGTGTCAATCCTTCTTCTCAGCAGCCTGGTTGGAGTCCTCGTCCGAGTCATGGGCGGCAGCGATGGCCTCCTTGATCTTTCCCCCAATAACTCCCTCTTTCTCGGGGGAGTCCCCAATCTCAGCGTACTCGTCATTCTCGTTCTTCTCGCCCTTTTCAGGTTCATCGCCGATCTCAGCGTACTGGTCCTCTTCAGCTGCCTCCTCCTCTTTCTCCTGTTGGGCCTCTGGTGCCTCTTCAGCTGCCGCATCGTCCACCGCAGCCTCCATTTCATACTCTTCCGGTAGCGCTGTTGGGCTATTCGGGTCCACATGACGGCTCTCTCCCACTTCTTCAGCAATCGCATCGCTCTCCTCCCCCTCTTCACACGGCTGCTGCTGCTGTGATTCCTCCTCATCCGACTCGTTGTGTGGCACCTGCAAGATACGGCTCTTCGCCTCACCCAGGACGCCGTCCTTACGCACTGGCGTGTATGTGACACGGATCATCTTTCCTCGGTCTGCATTCTGCACCTTGTATCTGCGCACACCGGTCTCAATAACTTCGAAGGCTTCTGTCTCGGGATCCTCACGCGCCCACTCAATGATTGGTTCGCCGGGCTCACCACCAAAGTACTCCACCTCCAGCTCCAAGGTGTTGCCCACCAGAGGTTCGCCTACCACGTTCATGAAGTTGGTCTGCGGCGCACCGGCGGAAACAACGCCGTCGGATTTTGCAGTTGCCGCCCGTCCCTGCACGCCGTCGAAGCGCACGGGCGTGATCGAGACTTCAATCGTGCAGTCAACTTCACGCTTGGTGAGGGCGAGTGTCGCACTGTTCGGGCGGCCCGTCCTCGTAAGACGCTTGTAGCGATCGCGGCGGAACCACTGAATCATATGCGGTCCGAAGTGACCACCAGTGTACTCGTACTCAAGGGTAAGCACGTGCTGTTCCGTCAGCTCGCCCACAATTTGGAGGTTGTGAATCTCCGGTGCCGATGGATCAATGGGCTTCTCCAACACACAGCGGCACGTTTCGCCCTCCTCACCATCCTTGTTGACAGGAGTGTACTCTACTGCCAGGCACTTGCCGACATCCTCGAGCGTAGGCACGTAACGTGTGCCATTCTCCCCTTCAATCGGGTAGTACTCCTCCGAGTTGTCATCTTTGCGGAGCCATTGGTAGTAGCTCGCACCCTCCACACCGCCAGAGTAGATCACCTCCACCTCCAATTCACTCTCCTGGATCAGGTTGCCAATGATCTTGATGGATTCACACTCTGGCGCTCCAGCCACCACAGGAGCCGTGACGACCGATTGGGGCTCACCTGCCACCCAATCGTTCCTCATAGGAGTGAACTCCACCTTGATACAACAATCAACGTCACTGCTTGTCAGCTTGTAGCCGGACCACGGATCACCTATGTCGATTGGAATCTCTTCGCCTTCTGGGGTAACGCGGATCCAGACCAGGGAAGAGTTTCCTTCAACGCCACCGACGTAGTCAGCCTCCGCCATCAGCACGTGGCCCTCGACTGCATTGCCCTTGATCTCAAGGTGGGGGCATGTGGGTGGGCCCGCGACGATCGGAGTGGAAATGTCGAAATACAAGAAGGAGAAGACGCCATTGACGTATGCCAGCACCTCAGCGCGCAGACAGCACCCCACATCCGCAGCAGTTGGTGTGTACACAAGCGTATTGTTGTCCTCAATGACCTCGTAGTGGTTGTTTTGAGTGCTTTTCATCCACCGGATGTGAAGAACGGTATCCTTCTCTTCATCTGGATGCTCAAGCTCAGTGACCTTGTAGAGGTAACAGAAGCCCTGCTTGTGCTTTGACATCACGCCATTGGATTCGGGAACAATCTCAGCCCCATCCACAATGTACCGGTACTCGTAGTCGCCAGCAGGGAGATAGAGCGTGGTGTGGAAATAAATTTCACCCTCCTCCTCGCAACGTTCCAGCTCAATGGGGTCTGTCCAGTTATTCATCGAACCGACCACGAAGACTTCTGTCGCCTCACCAGACACCTTGAATGCCACGGGGAAGAGATGACGGGAGTAGAAGTTATCAGCCGTACGCTGTTCATACGCGCGGATGTCCTGCATGCAGCAGGTCAGACGCACTGGGAATCCCTCTGTAAGAACGTTGCGTGTTTCATCCTCAGGTGTGAGGCGAATGGAGCAGAGCTGAAGGTACTTGGATTTTTCCCTTACACGCTGGAGCTTGAGAAGGAATGCATCAGCGGCCTCTTCAACGTTGTCACCCTCAACAACAAACCCTTCACAGACGCAGTTGACAACCTTCCCCTGGTAGTGCTCCAACGCCGCACGTTCTTCGCCTTCGACAGGATTGCCGTCGATCGTCACGAGGTTAGGGTTGTTGATAGCGATGGCCATACTGCGGTAAGACGGAATGTCCGTCACGGGGTTCCCCACGAGGTTCAGTGTGTGCAGTGATGGGAGATTGGGATAGTGATCAAATGAAGAGATGTTATTGAAGTTGAGGGAAAGCACCCGCAGGTTGGGCAGGCGCTCCAATCCCTCGAAGCTGTTGATGGCATTGTCGCTGAGGCACAGTGTCTCCAGGGAAGAAAAGTTCGCAATCCCCTGCAGAGATTCAATCTTGTTTCCTGTCATGTAGAGGTGACGCAGAAACGGAGTCTTGCTCAGGAAGTCCACTGTTCCGCCAATGTCGTTGATAGACAGATCCAGCACCTTTAGATTCTCCATGGTGACCTCGGTGTCGAACTCTGTCAGTTCATTCTCACGGAGGTAAAGGTACTCCGTGGAGTAGTTCTCCAGCGTCGTCTCTCGCACACTTCGGAGGTCCTTCCTGTTCAGCGTCAAGCCACTGGGCTTGAGGCTAGTGAACTGTCCCCCGCGCCGCACAGTACGGGTAGCCATCTGGAATAATTACAAGGTGTTGCTTGTGTGTTTTTTTGTTTGTTTGTTTTGCTTGTTTGTCTTTTTTGTTGTTGTTGCTAAATCAAAGACCGCTGTTTTCGTATATGGACTTTTTTTTTGCGTTGTTGATCGAAGACAAAAAAAGGAGACAAGAAGAGCCCAGAGGTGGTCAATAGAAAAATGGCAGAAGAAGAGCACATCCTCGGCATATTTGCCTGATGCTGCCGTCTCTGTTGCCTCTATTCTTATGAGGTCGGTGAGGGACAAAACCGCATAATCAGACAATCTCACACAAGATGTTTACTCTTCTTGGAGCTGCCCATCCCCTTCAGTTGGGGTGTTCCCCCATTCAGAGTCTTTGGTCTATCAATCTGCAATCGACTTACGAAAGAGTAACTTTTGGGTCTCACTCTCCCAGACACCGCCGCGTGGCGGAAGTTAGAGGGGGTGGGTGGGACTGTAAGGATAATATTTACTCTGGTCCCTACTCGAAAGCCTCTGATTAGACAAAACAACAATGGGAGAAACCCCCCTTTCCCAACAAATTGGTTAGACAATATTTGGGCCCACATTCTTTCCACGAGTTCCCAAGAATGTGTGGGGGAACCGTCTCGGAAGCCTGTGAAGAGGGCCATTGCATTCTTTAGGGCATCAAATAAAGCACGACAGGAACAAACTTGTTCTTTTTTTTTTT